TACCCCTTTAGGGTTCTAAAAGGCTTAATAATACACACACATATACACACACTCCCTGGATACGCGGATCACGAGATAATACTAGGACATGGTGCGGGATGGCGCAATGTTCCCTGGACTGTAACACAGTTCAAGAATACCATAATTGCATGTGGGGACAAGGGTATACGATTCCATTGATTGACTGTGGAGATGGCCAGCGGAGTGACATGTGAGGCTCGTATCGAGGACATTGTGCGGAATTCGTGCGATGAGAAGTCAACCACGCCAGCCTGTGTGGCAGAAAGCACAGTCTCAGGCAAGTCCCAGTTCTTCTATGATCATGTCTGCTGCCTTTTCCCCAAGCATCAGAGCCGTATTGTAGGTGTTCGCAGCAACTTGGTGTGGTGGCACGCTGAGATCGGCAATTTTGAGACCGGAAACGCCGTACACATTCAGATTGGCATCAACTGCAATGCATCAGCAAAGACCTCAGCGATATCTTCGACTTCGTGTCTTACCAACTCCCGTAGCTTCCCGTGGTGCCATCTTGCAGGTCCCCAATGGATGCCTCGAAGTCCCGATGTTTTCTCGAATGTACTGCACGATGGCGGCTTCATCTTCAGCTGAGTACTCAATGTCCCCTCCAATCGGGCCATCTGCGACTTCTATGGCAGCAGCCTGAGACCCTTCAGGAAACTTGGGCTGTCCTGAAGCAAGTTCGCCTCTGAATATGTCCATCTGACGAACCATCTTTCTCTGGGTCTTGTAGCCCCAGATGTGACTCTTCAGGTCGATGTCGTTCTCGTCCAACAGCCAGCCTGGGTCGAAATCGTAATCATCATCAATAGTAGGACCAGTGATGTGAACGTGTCCCCTGGCGTACGGGTACGTCACCCACGGCGCGGTAGTGACATACTCTGCATCGTCGGGCAAGATCGAAGGGTCGCCGAAAAAAGCGTTGAAAAGACCCCAGATCATGAGAGGGCGGTTGGGCGAGTCTTCGAAGTCTCTGTCCCACACTTCCTGAAACTCAGGCCCCAAAGCTGCAATGTCTGCAGGAGATGGACGTAGCTTGCTGGAGGCGTCATGGCCGTTCCACCCTAGTTGTGGATCATCTGCGGCGATCATAGCGGGAACGTCACGACCGCGATCGTTGCGGGCGATGCCGTTGATCGTCTCATTTTGGGTTAGAGATGTGCGGTAGACATAGCCGACAAAATGGTGGTCTGCAAGATGTCAGAATACAGGCCCACGAAAAGGAAGGAGACGTGCTCATGCCTTGAAAATCGTTGCCTACTCCTGGAAGAGGTTCAACCAGAGGTACGTTAGCGTTCTCAAGAACTGCGGGATCACCAACTCCTGAACGCTCGAGAAGAAGCGGCGTCCCAAAGGAGCCAGCAGAAGCAACCACAAGCTTCTTCGCTGAGATGGTTCTAGTACTGTTGTCTTGGCCTGCCTTCGCGAAATTGGGACTTGGTCGGAACTCAACGCCAGTGGCACGCTTGGTGTCATCGAATAACACGCGAAGAACTTGGGACTCAACCAGCACGTGGAGGTTGGGGTAGTCACCGCTCTGAAGAAGAGGATGTAGGTATCGGTGACCAACGTCCTGGCGACGGCCGTCTTCGGGCGATACGTAACGATACCATGGACCAGAACCGTTGTTAGAATGTAGACTCTGAAGATCGACGATCTCTTCGAACCCAGTCTTTGTGACGCCTTCAATGAAACTGACTTCAGCACGAGGTGCCTCGTGGGTTCCTTTGGATACGTGAATTGGTCCGCTGTAACCGTGGGTTGACTCATTGGTTGTTGCTCCATGGTATGTCTCCGTCTATAATTGCAGCAAATCATTAGCTTGTCGTCTAAACAATGAGAGATGCTCGTGATACTACCGCAAACATAGGCTCTGGTTACCAAGCTAACCTTCTTCAAATACGGCAGGACGTCTTCAGCAGTCCACCCAGAAGTATTCCACAAGTCGAAGTCATCCCACTGCCCGCGGGTGTATACCATCCAATTGATCGATGACCCACCACCTAAAATACCTCCAGTCTCAACGATGGGCTCGCGATCTGCCAGTTGCGGCGATTTGTTTGCTTTCCAAAAGAGGGCTGTATCTGACCCAGGCAAGGTGTTACGCTCAAACAAGGCCGGATAGATGACGTTCGTCACATTATAGCTATCTCCTCCCTGCTCAATGACAAGGATAGTAGTAGAGGCGTTTGCTTCAGCAAGACGGGACGCAATTATGCTCCCAGCTGTGCCACCTGCAAGTATGTTAGTCGGGAATCAACCTTGGATGAGGATCATGACTTACCTCCAGCTATTATAATATCGACCTCAGTCAAATCGCTAGGGAGCTCCGTATAGACGCACACAGCCACTCTCAAAGTTGCGAGAGTGGCGATGATGGCCTTTGAAATACTCATGCGACCCATGGAGACTGGCAATCAATGTGTGACCAAATTTGTGTTGTAGTTCTCGAGGAAAAGAGACAAAGAAGGGCAGGTCTGAAATATGCGGCCGTTCTTGTCAATAAGTACCCGCTGTCCCTGGCACAGATCTTTCATAAAGCTTCTGATCTGCAAATCTAAGGTGATGAAATCAGCAGATGATGCTTTGCATCGTATTGTCTGGCCATCGTCAGGGGCGTATGCGCGGGGTTGCATTTAATGTAGCAGTCATCTCTTGCTAAAAGTCTTGGTATTGACAAACTGCACTGCAAATGGTTTCTGAAGTGGAAGACCACTGTGACATTTCAAGTGAAGCTGCATGGCTTGGCTGCTGGGGTTTCGGTCCGGAGAGGGGAAGCTTGCTGCGAGTTGCTGATCTTCCGGTCAGCGTGGTAGCAAGCCCCACGTTAGCGGAGAAAAGATGCTAGAAGCGGGCAATAATTAAGTTTGAGCTTCAAATCAAGGCGATTGATTGGTTTGCTCGCACTCTAGATTCATTATTATCAGCAGACAGAGACAGTAGTGTGTCACTTTTTGGCGGACCCTCTAATCGAGGAAAGCACTTCTTTACTACAAAGTTCTATTCCGTAAAATCCTCAAAGACAGCCGAACAAATATTCCTTTTTATTTCTAACTTCATTGTGTTCTTTGTTTGCTAAACTCGTTCCGCTTTTTCGATATCGAGTCGTAAACTGCAATAAGAAGCCAATCTTCCATGATAACCGGGGGTTGACGATGAGCAAGCTGAGCAAATTACTGATCCTAATTGCGAATAAGTTTGTGCAGCAACACCTCTACGCTACTTGAGATACGTAAGCAACCATATGAGTATTGAACTTTGTCTATGTAAATCTTGATGTTTTGGAGACGTGCAATCTCACAGAACCTCAGGCGGCAAGGCTTGGGGATATTGTTTTCACGCGAGCGTGGATCAGCAATACTTGCGACCGCGCATAGCTAAACCCCAGATAGATCTCTGTCGCAGAATCTTGCTTGTAAGTGTCACATTTGGATCTTTGTTGTTCCTTCCAAAACCACTTTTAGATTGATGAATTCCTGTTGTACAACAAGAGGCTAGACCAACGGTAAAGGGTGTATTAGGCCCATAAATTACGATTTGAAAAATGTTGTACCCTCTTCAGCGCCCCACCTCACCTCCCGTAAATTCAGGAAGCGCTGTCGCAGCCTCGACATGCTATATCTATCTGTTTCGGGTGTCGATAGGTTACGCAGGTCAAGTTTGTGTATATCACTAAACCAGCTCGTGGGACTGCATTCGCGCGAGGGACTGCATTCGACCAGTCTGCCGATTATAAATATATCGACATTGAGTTGCAAGTAATCAACTTCCCAATTAATTGAAACATCTGGGACCGTTTCAACAGATGGGATAGTTGACCACGTTGAATCATAAGTCGGACTGCACCACATCGGGAGCCAGAACCGGGGCCGGATCTTCGTAGCCACCAAGTACGACTCGCGATTGATTGTTGTGTCGATGGCTGTAAAGTAATGACGCCGAGAGCCCACATGATGAATGGAATGATTTAGGACATTTGCCCGAAGGTGTATGCTCGAAGATTTTATTCCACATTTCCAACGAACTTCGACGTATCTTGGTTCGAGATAGAACTCCCTCCATATCATGAGTCGGATTTCTGTTGGAAACTGTGAGAATTTGGGAAAGGCCGAAAGAGGCATTGCAGTGGGCATCCCCGAGTTGGAAATCTTAGTGGCCGTAAAGTTGATTTCCATCATGGGTCAAACCAGCCCGTCTGAAAGCGAGCATTGGCGATGGAAAACGTGAATGAAAGAGTTTTGCTGGTCGGGCAGTGTCAGTTGGCTATTCGGGCAATGTCCCCTATGACTTTGATCGTAGCGTACCTGATTCTTCGACAAAGACAATGGTAGCAGAGAAAATGATGGGGTGGCGACGAGTAGCGATGACCATAGAAGACGATGATAGCGACGATGGCAATAACGAGAGCGAGTATATAGGTTAGTCGCTTTAGTATAGGAAGGATAGGGGTCTCAGCAGGATCAACGGATTACACGCGTGTGTTGTCGAGACTGCCCGAATAGCCAACTGACATTCGGGTAGCAAATCTCTAATGAAACAGCGGAATATGTTGAAAATCAGGATCGAGCCAAAAAAAAAAAAAAAAAGGAAAGAAAGTCTAAGGTACATCTCGTCGGCTTGAATCACGTGCTGTCGAGACATTCGCACCATCCATTCCTTAGAACCACCCGTTGGGATGCGCTTGTTGCTCAAGGTCAAAACCCAAAAGGGCCGCACGCGTCTTCTACCTAGCTACATTTTTCATCCCGAATCTCTCAAAAGCTATCAAAGACCTAGAATCTTTCTTATAACCGTTAGCAATAGAATGCAGCCGCACAAGTCCGGTACCGGACGGCGTCAGCCTAAATGCTTACGTGAACACCAAAGCTCCAGGCATTGCCGAGTCTTTAAATTCAATGCCAATCCGCTAGAATATCACCTACCATTTCTCAGTGACATATTCTCTACTTGCGCATACCCAGAATAGTCCTTTGCCTGCAACTATGTCCACCACAACTTCACCGTCGTTCACTCCTAAAGCCATCATCTTCGATCTCCTAACGGCGCTGCTCGACTCATGGACTATATGGAATGCTTCGACGCCAACAGGGACGGCTGCGGAGGGCCGCAAATGGCGAGAGCGTTATCTGGAATTGACCTTCGGTCAAGGAGCATATGCCCCGTACGAGGCTTTGGTGATGCAGGCTGCGGACGACGTCAACTTGCCACGATCTGCACCCGAGGCTCTGATCAGGGACTGGCCCAACCTGGCGGCATGGCCAGAGGTTGGCGATGTCCTGTCGCGTTTGCGGAAGAAAGGCTACAAGCTCGGCGTCGTCACGAATTGTTCCAGGGAGGAGGGCAATATGGCGGTGAGAAATGTGGAGAAGGCGGTTACGGAGAACGGGCAGAGGAACTTCAGGTTCGACGCGGCTATCACAGCTGAGGAGAGCGGGTTCTACAAGCCGGTGCTCCAGGCATACCATGCCATCTTACCTGAGCTTGGCGTTTCGGCAGACGAGGTACTATTTGTGGCTGGGAGTAACGGAGATGTCGAGGGTGCAACCGAGGCAGGTTTCAAGGTTGTCTGGCACAACAAGATAGGCCTACCTAAGAAGGGTCATGCGGAGCCGCTGAGGGAAAGCAGGACATTGGATGATGCATTGAAGGATTTTGTGTGAACTTTCCATCGACTTTAGGCTAGCCTTACTATCCGGGTGAATAATCGAGATGAATCTTGGGAAGCTTGACCTAACAGATTCCAAGGCGATGGGTTGCTAATGTGCGAAGTGGTGAGGCATTGTGTGTGACCGTGAGGGTGAAACCGCCAATCTTAAGTCGGGGTGGCTACGTTTTCTTCTAGCTTACCAACTGCTCATCTCCACTATGTTCTCATAAAATCGCTGTCTGGTGAAATAAATCATCAGAATCAGAGTCGCCCAGCCTTTGACGCTCATCCTTGTTTTCATTTGCCTGTTTCCTTCTCTGAAACTCTTTGGATTGCTCTTTCACAACCTCTTCGCAGTCAAACTCTTTCGACATAATCATGATGTAACCTTTTATCGCAACTTTTCTGTCGAAGTCCTCGCTTACGATGAGAACTCGAAGTCCCGGGGACCCAAACCTTCGCATTTTCATCGCCCATTCAGCGATGATTGGCATCTCCGTAGGGTGATTCATAGTGACTACCAGTCGGAGTGTCCTTAGGGAGGGCGGCAAACAAAGATGTGGTATGCTGCGCGCCTCCTCGGCCCAGGGGTGCGGGAGAACAATTTCGAAAGTGGTCAAATTGACCAACTCTCGCAGAGGTTCCAGGGCATCGTGATCTTGCGGCTGTGAACCTATCGGCATCGAGAGTGTCTGCAGCGTACTAGCATGCCGTCGAAGTGCCCTCAATATAAGGCCTGCTTTTTGAGTACTCATAAACCCCTTGGTTTTGACTTCTAAATGAGCAAGTCTGGAAATTGATGACACAACGTGCTCTGGTGCGTTGGATTGGGGGCGACTAGCGTCCAAGCCGAGCCTGCATGTGGTCAGATTTGGAGCTTTGAAAGGTCGCGAAGGATTAAAGATGATCCCGCTTGTCTCTAGACTCGTAAGACTTGGTGCTTCGTCTAGAATGTGTTGAATTCCTTCGTCTCTGAAGAAGTTCTCATGAGGCATTTTCAGCAGATGTAAATGTCGAAGATTCCTAAAACGTGGCGATCGAATGCTCATCGCCCCTGCACCCGGGACAAGACATTTGAAAAGAGTGCTACCAACGCGCCGGACGTTCAATTCGAGGCTCTCGACATTGATAGCCCGAAGTGCCAGGATTTCAGTGGCCAGGTCAATGTTGTTATGCGACTGAGCCCAGCCATCTGGTAGTTCAACATTCATTTCGGAAGCCGAACGAACTACGACAGCGGCGTCCTCTTCTGACATGTAGTCATCGGCAGATATAGGCTCACATACCAGCCGCCTGACATATTTCGATCTTATTGGGCGTGAATCCCAACATCTCATGATGGACAGAAGCTGTCTGATCGTGGGCTGCGGAAGCCAAACAAAGCTGAAAAGAAACGGCTCCGTTAAGTCTCTGAGTGTGTGGCTCGTCCGGCAAAGAGCAGCCATAGCGGCCAAATCACAATGCAGACGGGCCACATCGAGAGTGTTGTCGCCACAAATTTTGCGATCATGGACAGATTGGTACCTTTCACGATCGGGATCAGCGAACTGTGAAATGACGTGTAGCAGAATCTCCGCCGGTAAGTCGAGAAAGTGAAGCATGTTGACCAAACAGCATAATTTAAATGATAGATCATGTGCTGGCTTGGAATTGGCTCCGTCGGGCAAGTCGAATCACGTGTTTTTGAGTGCTGCTGAGGTGAAGTTTTCTCGAGTTGTCCTCAAGCTGTCAGCTGTTGTTTGCGAGCCCGGTCAGTTGACTCGTTCACAGCGAAATCGGCATCTAGGAGGGTAGCCCCACTAATTTCCATACCCAACCAGTGTACGGGGCCTTGCCTTTGGCACGCCAAAAGCTGACCAGAACACATCATGTGGGCGGAAAGACACAACAAAAAGGAGGCAGGAAGGGGCTATTTCGCACAGCCTGCCATCATTATTGAATGGCACACACATAGCAGAGAAAAACAACTCACCCGGCCCAAATTCGGGGTCATTCGTCCATACACACCCAAAGAGTTGTTTGTATTTGGATATAAAACTAGTTGTCTTGATGCTAATCTTTGAGCACTCCTGGCCGGTCTTTTCCAATAACGTGGCAGTCCTTTTTCAATTCTTCAAATACTCGATGTCCTTTTGCAATTGCGACTTGCGAGTTGAAGAAAGTGTCCTGCGCCATGTATTCTTGCGACCAAAGCCAGCCTCGAACAATTGTGTAAAACTTTCGCAGCCGCCATCCATGGCGGTGGCTCCGTGAGCCAGGTTCGAGAGACTGGCTAATTTCCATCAATTGGAAGAAGAGTGCTGTAGCATCTCTTTGACTCATGCGCCTTCGTGTTTCCAGTGCCGATTGCGCACTGGATTGGATCTGAGCAAGAGGTTTGAACACAATCCTTGGATCAAGTTCAACAAGATTTCCAGTTGCCAGTTCCTTGCCGGAGTCCATCTTCAATGACTCGGTTATCAATATCTTATTTGTTTTTCCCTCTATCTTCTCGACGTATCGACGTTTCTGAACACGCAGAATGTGGGATATATCCCTAGTGGACCAAGGGCTTTCTCGCAGCAAGACCTGCAGAGCCGACGAAAAGTATTCGAAGGCCGAGAGATTGGTCTTCATATTCTTGGCATCTGACAGCCAGGCGGTATCATGCTGGTCTCGGCTTGTGGCATCGCCATTGCCTTTGGTCATCAGAGCTGAGAGCCACCACAATTTTCTTGGCGGTTCCCCTGCCAAGCTGCGTAGCATCTGCTGCTCAATCAGATCTACCAAACCTGTTCAGTCCATCAGTATGAATTTAAAATTTTGTTAGCATTATAGTGCTCATCAAAACTCCGAGCATCAGGTTGAGTGCCTTTGGCAGTGGAACAAGGAAGCCAGTCGAAAACTTCCATTCGGGAGTTCCACCAAAAGGTAGCCTCTGCCGACAGGTCCAACGCAGGCTCTGTTTCTTCTTCATGAATGGTGTCTTGGGCCAGATGTTGTTCATAATATTGTGTGTTCGACGCAATGCTGTTCCCGACAATCTGGGAGGCAAATGCTTTGGACCTTAGAAGACCTGGATCTGTGCAATCCAACATTTCTCGGTGCCATGTGAGATCCCAGTGATCGCCATGAGTCTGGAGCTTTGTACAAGCCAGGAGGAGTTCAAAGAGTTGGCTTTGTGTAGAGACTTCTGAAGCACTTTAGCCCCTTTTGCTCCGTAAGGGATGTCTAAAGACAAGGTCGTGAGGACTGATATCACAGTGATCGAATAAGACCTTGGTGAAAGGATTCAAGCTGCGGCTCAACAACTGGCATTGTTGGTCCAGGGAAGCGCGGGAAAGGCGTAAAATGGTCGACTTTCCAGACCCAGGGACACCGCGCAACCAGAGGGAATTGCTGCCAGAATTACCTGTGGCCCAAACATTGTATAAGTGGGCGCTCCACCGGCTCGTCAATCCGTGGCGGGAAAAAAGGTGCGCTTCATCGACAGAATCGATGAGGTCATGAAAGACAGTCGAAATCTCATTGTTCGAAGGCAAATCATTCCAGATGAGATGCGGACGAGCCAACGAGATATTTCTTTCGCGAATTGGATGGCAATTCGAGAAGATTCTCGATAATCCATCCAGTATGCGATGTGGCCGAGGAAGGTGACGTCCAAATGATGAAGACAACCCACAATTCACCATGGAAGACTGTAAATCTGGTTCTTGAACTTCTGAGAAGAGCATTTGAAACATCTTGGTCACCTTCTCTTCATGATAAGGGCCAGTTCCCATCAGTTTCAGCGTTCCCCTCTGTGCCTGGGAATCGAGCCACGTAAACGACTCTGGGGGAACGGGATGTCGGCGATCAAGATTGCGAGACAACAGTCGCAACAAACCTGCTGATTTATAAGGCAAAGATAAATCGCGGATCTGTTGCATCTGCTGGGCATTATCGACTAACTGATGAACGGAAGTTCTCAGTAGTAAATTGGGTATCTGAGGAATGACACTCGAACAGAGCAGGTCTGCTTCTTCGAAGTTGGCTCTGTGCACGCCGGTCTGCCGGAAATTTTGATTCCGTGGCGTGGCAAAGCTGATACCAAAAGAATCCGACGCATAGCCAAGGGCTCGACTAGCAGGCATAACCAACACGAGTCCAGTTGAAGGACTGCCTGCTATAATGTGTCCGAAAACCTTGCCAGAATCGTTGCTGCGAACCCACGACCCACAGTCTCCAGGCTTGAGTGGCTGGTCGAGCTTGGCAGAATAAACATTGACGAACTTTCTGGAACCAGGCAGACAAAATGCCAGAGATTGACCAGAAAGTATGCCGGAGATGGACCTCTGGCCCTGCGTTGCGACTGTGACGGCAGCTTTATCTGGTGGGAAAAGCTCAATGCAGTCTTCAAAGTCATCTAGAGAGATGGCAAGTTTGGCAGCTGCAGCTGGATCAATGCCCAGCCTCTGCAGAGTTTCAAGGTCGATCTCCACAAGCGAAAAGTCCAGCTCCCGGGAGGATAAGATGACGCTTCCGGACTCCTTTGATTGAAAATTTGAGCTGTCGGGTGGCGGAGCCACATATCCTTCAAGTCTGGAATACAGAAGGGCGGGATCGCGTGCGTCGAGTACAGAGGAAAGGACAGAAATCGACTCCACGTCGGTGTCGGACTGTTCATCGTCATATAATTCAGCCGACGGAGATACACTACCGCGGCTGGTAATCTCAACAAGGTCAAAGAAATCATCAGCGTCGTCTTCAGAGTCGTCCCATCCAAAGACTTCGCAGTCCTCATCCTGTTCTTTCTCTTCAAACGTATCATAATTGCATTTCTGCTTTGTCGGTTCGAGAAAGTGCTGAACGGTATGGAGCATGTATTTCCCACCAAAGTGGAGCAGACCTCCTGCTGTTGCGGATCGCACTTCGGAAGTGACACCGGTCTTGTGGAAAAGTCTTAGAGGAGTCTGCGGGCCCTTTCTATCGATATAAACAGCCGAAGGTCGTAATTCTGCGGGCAAACGATCTTCAGGTAAGCCAGCTAATTCA